CAGCCCTGACCCTAGACAAATTGAATTAAAAATACTCAGGAAATTCATATACACATTTAAGGTATTGATAACTCTTGATTGGCCATGTTGATAGGAATGAAAATAGGAGAGACAAAATGCTTCATTTTTGACATAAAGTTTGATGTCATCTTGTTAATATTTTTAAGAACTGCTAATAAGTTACTACCCAGTGTGGCTGGCTTTTAGTTCCACTTCTCTCACTCACTAGTGACAATCAGTGGTATTTCTCAAAGGACAAGAAATGGCCAATGCATAAATTATATGGCTAGAGTGAATGTCTCAGGATGCTACAATGACTTGACCAAATTGCCTGCATGGCGAAGATGCCAACTGAGAGGCTGTGGAATGCACATGTGAGATCTAGGAGGAATGGCCCTGAGAGTGGCAGCTGCAGAGGACACAGAGAAGAATTTCAGCCTGGCCAGCAGGTGTGATATCAGAAGCCGGGAACAAGGGCCGACAGCTCACAATCCAAGTAGGCAGTGGGTTAGAGGGGTTGGGAAGGTGGTGCCTAAGAAGTGGGTTCTTCGAGGCAAACAGAGGCCAGTAATTGGAAGAGGGGAAAGCAAAATCATGCCCAGTCAGGCTAGCAGTGCCAGGAAGCAAGGCAACAGCAGTACTACCAAATTATTAAACAAACAAACAAACAAATGACAGGAAGGGATGAGGCTGTTAGTAAAGATGAAGTTACCAGGAGTTTTGTTGATTACAAAAAGAAGCTCGAATTCCTGGCTTACTGAAACTATTTGATATATAGAGTAGATATGGACTCTGCATCCTGCCCTCTAAATATAGAAAGATATGGCATTTTAAGAAAAAAAATTATGGTTAAATTTCAGATAAAAGGAATGTTTATAAAAACTAACAACCAGTCTTAGGAATAAACGCCAAAAATATGATGTCTACCTGAATTATGCCACTTGTCTGCAAAGGTAGAGAGAGGCGCCAGAAAGGACTGTTTGTGCATAAACACATGATGGGCAAAGTCCAAAGATGACATTTCCTTTTCCAGATTCGGGACCCCTAGTCGGAGGGTGATTTACACGTCAGTTGCAGCGTGTTGGTCAATGTTCCAGGCTGTCAGCTCGGCACCGCCCTCAGGGCTCAAGCTACACAGGGCATTGAAAGGTTAGTCAAAGACCACATTGTGTTCCCCTTGCTGCAGGAGCGGCTGCACTAATTTGGATTGTGACTTGGCTTGTCTCCCCCTACTCTTCCTGAGGTCTGAGCTGGGTTTGTGTCAATCAGTGGTGTCACATCATTCACGCGTTGGAGGGTGGTAGCCCTTCTTAACCCATGGAATCATTTTTAGGATACATTTTAGAAAGGCATCTAGGATGCTGTGATTCAGCTCTGCACATTCCATACCAATGACAGTCACCGTTACATCTTTCTGCAGATTTATGGAAGGCATGTATCACATTCAATGCATTTAATTGGTGCACTAGTTGGTGGGGAAACTATTAGATTTGGAGTCAGAAAGCCTGGCTTTGACTATCTTTGTCACTTATTTTTGTGCCTCGGTTTACTTACCTATAAAATCAGTATATTACCTCTCATTATAAAAATAGCACATGTGAGATCGCTTTGTAAACTATAAAGAAGTATTATACAAATTAAGACAGATTATGATGATTGTTACACTATCAGAGGGAAGCCACATCGGAACCAAAGATCAAATCAAATATAATCAGCACTGCACGTTAGGGGATGGAGGTCACAGTCAAATGTTTTCAGTTCAAACATGATCTTACAAAGCCAGAATTATCAAGAATCATTGGAATCAGAGATTACTTTATCATAATGTTTGTTTTAGCAGCAAATATTAATTAGGTTTCCATTAAGCATGAATGGTTTCCAGTTAGTATAAATAGTGACTGTGATTGCCAAATACAACTCTAATACAAATATTATCTGAACTAATGAAACAGATGAACAAACGTAAACAAAATGGCTTTTTCATTTTTTATAGATAAAGGCTGGAAGAAGTCACCACTGTGAGGCGGCCCTACCTGGCAGGGTACTCTCTCCTCTCTCCTCCTCCTGAAGAGACTTTCCCCCTTTTTTTTTTGGTTCTAGGTGATGACAGCAAGCCTCATATTTCAAAAAATCTCTCTTCTCATTCCCCTTTCTTGTCTTCCTGAGAACCAATTACTCCTTTGGGTCTCTTTCTTCGGATTCTTGCTTCGCCAGCCTTTTTCTCTAAATGTTCTGCTTTCATGAACTTACCCCACTCTAGTCTCTGCCAAATCAAGAGTAGAGTTTCCTGAAATCTTCACCTCAACAGTAAAATGTGTAAAGAATGTTTTCTTCTGATTGTCTTTCCCTTTCCTTCCGAACTTTTAATGGCAACTTAGAATATTTCGCTTTTTTTTTTAAAGAAAAAAAAAAAGAAGTATCAACGTAGCAGAAGAAAGTAGATCCTTGTTAACATTCAGAAGTATGTAGATATAATGGAGATTAAAAATAAAAGTATTATTCCCATCTTTAATGAATCAAAAGTTTTCTAATAGCGTTTTGTGAATTACAGACAGTGTTTTTAATTCTGTAGAGGAAAGACTTACGTTTGGCGGGAGGACAGTGTTAGGGCCCAAGATAATTAGTCTTTGACACGTTCCACATTCACATGCTTGAAGGTATGCATTGGTTGGGATTAATTAGGACAAATTGATAAGCTGAAAGGTAGGGAAGAGATCCTAGCAGCACTCATGGCATACACATGCCATCATGGCTTCACTTGGCATATTATTCCCAGAAAAAAATCTCAGGTCTCCTAAGTTTTCTCACCCTTCACAAATTCAATGTAAGAATGCAGCTATTAACCCTTTCATCTAGGTCTCAGGACTTTAGCCATCTCCTCTGCTAGCTCACACCTCGGTAGACTGAGAAGGACCAAAGCTTTAGCATCTAGATGGGAAGTAACTTGCCATACACATCTATAAATCTTTTTCAGTAGCTATAGGGTTATTTACAGTAATAATCCTGTGGGGCCCTCAGAGTCTCCTAGAGATTACTAAGCAATAAATCTGTTTTCTTATAATGTGGACAAATCTTTCCATGTTTAGATAATACAATTTGCTGGCGACTGAAGATTTGTTCTTCTTGGACATCCATTAAAAGCACCAGAGTCTAAGCCAGAAATGGCACCACAGGAGTAGTCCGTAGGCCTGAAGAGTATTATGAATTGTAGATATCTACAGCACAGAAAAAGAGACTTTTCCCATACTGGCTAGAGATTTCCTTTTCCTTCTAGATCAAACTAGGTAACAATTTAACATTCTTGTTAGAATGGGATATGTTTGTTCTTACTGTACTTTAAGTCAATAATTATGTAGTCCTGCTCTTTTCATATCCCTTTTAAATTACTGTTCTAAAAAATTCATCATCGTCATTAATAGTACAAATTACCAATCTTAAGAAAAATTAATTTAAAAACCATTTATGCACGTTTGCATTTATGATAAAAACTTCCATGAAAACTGGAACTATCACATAAAATATAATGTTGCCCCAGGACAAAATAGCACCAGTCTAAAGTAACTGATCTTACAAAGCCAGAATTATCAAGAATCATTGGAATCAGAGATTACTGATGAAATCAGAGCTGATGAAATCAGAAAAGCAGCAAATAGAAATGCAGTAAATTAACACTACCATTTTTGAACATCTAACTGTATAGCTTATCATTCACTTTTTAAAATCTCTAATCTTCGTAGCAACTCAGTAAGAGGTACTATGTTCCCAATCTTTATATGCTGAGATTAAGGTTTAAAAGTGGGGCAACTGACCTAGGTCACTTATTAATTTTTGCCTGACCTTAAAGCCTATCTTTCCACTATGCCAACTATACTTCTAATCTCAAATATTTCCTTTCGTTTGGCTTCCAGAGTTAATCTACGTTTGTTTGAGAATGAAAAGCTAATTCCACAGTGTGTAGCAGTAGGCAGTGAAGGAGAGCGTAAAGTAAGGAGAAAAATAAGTCACAAAACGTGAATGAGACAGATGCACATTTTATAGTTACTTGAAACACAAAAAGCAAAAGACATGGGCTCTTGAATTATTTTTATTCCTCTGATGAGGTGAAGGTAGGCAGAAATCCTAGTCTTTCCAAAAATTACTTTTTTTCTTCTTATTCCAAAAGATGTTTGCATTCTGGGAAGCCTACCAAATTTAAATATTTGTTAATTTTAACATTTTTAATATAATCAAGCAAAATTTAGTGAACAGCATTTGATTTTATGTGGTTCCTGAAATTTTGGGACATTAATTTTTTTGTTTTATTCATAAACATAGATAAATTGTGCCTTTGAAAATACATAAAGTGTATGTTTTTTAAAAAAGAAAGCTGTTTTGTGCTTACTAAAGAGCACTATGAAAGAGTCTAATATTCTGTGAATTAATTTAATTCACAGCTTATCTGTAGGGATACGAAGTCTTATGGTATATTTTCTTTACTTAAAACAAAACCCCCTTCCATGCAAACCTCCCTGCATAGTGAGTTTCTGACTTGTTTTTCCAAGGTTAAAACTGCTCTGTGTATGGATATCACCTGGGGCTCTCTCTGGCTGTGGAGCACAGGCTGAGTGTCCATATTGGAACTGCCAATTCTTTTGATGGCCCCGCCCATTTCACTACTATTGGGCCACAACTCTTAATCAAAGTCACTTCAAAGACCCCAAACAGATTGATTCACATGTGAATGCTACCCAAACTGTCTTCAAAAGGAGGAGGGACTCTAGTCTTATGTTCCTTTGAACCTACTGTTGCTCATTTACTAGTATTTACTTTGCATGGCCTACAGCTGAACCATGGAAATTGGAAAACAAACTCCTATTCAGCAAGTCATGTCAAAGGTGACTGCAGAGCCAGAGAGTCGACTGTGGGACAGACATTCTTTCTGATCAGGAGGCCTCTTCTGCAGCGCTGCTGTCTCCACAGTTACATACCTGTCCATGGAAGCCTTTCGTTTATCTTGTCTATGTGGGAAGTCCTAGACGATGCCATCGATCTGAGAGATGAGAGAGATGCCATATGACACTCCAACAATAGTTGTGGGGCAGGAAAAAAAGAAAAAGAAAAAGAAAATTAGCCGGACCCTGAACAAAGTTCTTTGGAGCTGTACTATGATTGTAGAGAAGATCCAACAGGCACTCTGTTCAGAAACATACTTCGTACACTTTCAGACACACAGTGAAGCCAGCATTTTCACTTAGGAACATAAAATGGGTACTGCCCAAGGATTCAGTGAAGAGGAAGATAGGAAATAACGACATCTCTGAGTTTTCTTATGGTGGAAACTCAGACTCCCCCAGAAGAATGAAGCTGCAGCATACATCACTGCCTCACAGTCATTTACGGTGAACGTATTTCCTGTTGACTATTCTTATGGTAGAATCAGGAAAGGGATATGAAACGTACCAGATGTGAACGGTTTGTGAGTTCTGTGATCCCCAAACCAGAGTTGCTGATATTATTATTACTCTAGGTTGAACACTGAAAAATGTTAAGATTGTATTCCTCAGAGATATATCCAAGCATATTTTAACGTTCATTTAGATGTGAAAATTTTAAGAACCCAGATTGAATTACATGTATTTTCTTTTCCTGGAAAAAAAAAAAAGCTTTGCATATATACATTTCTTATCTGATGGTGTTTTAAGGTTAAATGGTGAGAACTTTTCATAAGGCATGTGAAAGAGCCTCAGAAAAAGTATAAAGGGCTTTGCACCATTTCAACCAACATCTTCATCATGGCTAATAGAATCCTCTGGAAGCCTCACGGACTGCCATGTCTGTGATAGAAGCCAAGTCCCACTCATGTCACGAGAACTGAAATAAAGATGACGGTTTTCTTATGGGAAGGTCCTTCTTTGACTAAGGATTTGCTGCCAAACTCAGTGCTGTCGTCAGCTGACCTCTAGGGCAAGGTGCAAAGTCCATCCGTTTACACAGACTTTTACTCCATAAGGGCTAATTTGAGATTAAATTTCTCAGACGTGATAGAGAAGCAATGTGAATGTGAATATTTATTTAGTGCTGGCTTTTCTGTCTAACATCATACTTTATAGATATTCCAAATGCCTCACAAATGCCTCACAAAAATAGACCAATATATTCACTTAAAACACCATAAAATGTTATTTACAAGTCTAATTGAATAAATTATGTTAAATAAAAGGATAATAACTTTAAATATATACTGAGAATACAAATTCAAAAACATTGTGGCGGCAATAGCACATTGTGTTTTAAATGATTGTGTTTTAACCACCATTTAGATCTCAATATAGCTGAAATAAAAGCAGGTGAAGAGAAAAATATAGGAAAGTGTCTATTAAAAAGTCTTGTGGAGACCAGGCATGGTGGCTCATGCCTGCAATCCCAGCACTTTGAGAGGCCAAGGCAGGTGGACTGCTTGAGCCCAGGAGTTTGAGACCAGCCCAGGCAACTTAGCAAAACCCCATCTCTACAAAAAATACAAAACATTAGCCAAGTATCATGATGCATGCCTGTAGTCCCAGCTACTTGGGAGACTGAAGTGGGAGGATCACCTGAGCCTGGGAGGCAGAGGTTGCAGTGAACCATGATCATGCCACTGTACTTCAGCCTGGAGTACAGTCAGACCTTGTCTCAAGAAAACTATAAACAAAACAAAAAGTCCTATAGAGAGGCCAATGCCAGTAACAGTGATTTCATGTGTCTACTGCACAGAATACTTCTCCACCCTTGGAGTTATTGCTATTGCAGAAGTCCTCTGCAAGGCTATCTCCATATGCGGCATCCTTAGATTCCACAGCTCCGGTTAAAATTGCAAGTACATCACATCCTGATCTCATCAGCCTTGGTTATGTCACTCTGGGGTGGTGATTGCGGACACAAGGAAAGGAGCAGCAAGAAGCAAGCAGCTAGAGACGTACTCGATGGAGGAGCTGGGTATCTCAGCCTCCATTAATTGCCTGTTTTCCACCCTGTCCTTCCCCTCAAAGATCTGCTTTCTAGAATTTTCTCAGTATACTATGAGTGAGAGACACTGGATTTGATATATTTCCTTGTTATCATATCATTATCTAAAAATATAAGTAAGCAGTAGTGACATGTATATTTTTACAGAATTAGTGGGAAATCTAGCCAAGAAGACAGCTTTCCTCTGTCAGCCTAATTTTTAATTCACCAGATCTCATCAGCCCGTGGACATATACCTGGCGGTGGGAGGACAGGTAATGGAAGTGATAAAGTGACTACTGTTATATAGAACTGAGGTAAATAACATTATAGCCTATATAATATTATAGGTCTTTAATTAGGTCTATTCAGACTCAGGTTTAATTTTTAATCTACGTTTTTCTCCTTTTTTTTTTTTTTTTTTGAGATGGAGTTTTGCTCTTGTTGCCCAGGCTGGAGTGCAATGGCACGATCTCGGCTCACTGCAACCTCCACCTCCCGGGTTCAAGCGATTCTCCTGCCTCAGCCTCCTGAGTAGCTGGGATTACAGGCATGCACCACCACGCCCGGCTAATTGTATATTTTCAGTAGAGACGGGGTTTCTCCATGCTGGTCAGGCTGGTCTCGAGCTTCCAACCTCAGGTGATCGGCCCGCCTTGGCCTCCCAAAGTGCTGAGATTACAGGCGTGAGTCATCACTCCTGGCCCATTTTTCTCCTTTTTAAGACAAATCTGTGCACTGAACTGCAGTTGATATTTGCTGGAGATTGCTTGTTCAGTAATAATGAATAAAAATATCTGACATTTGGCCAGACATGGTAGCTCATAACTATAATCCCAGCACTTTGGGAGGTTGAGGCAGGAGGATTGCTTGAGGCAAGGAGTTCAAGACCAGCCTGGGCAACATAGCAAGACCGCATCTCTACAAAAAATTTAAAAATTAGCTGATTGTGGTGGCACATGTCTGTAGCCTTAGCTACTCGGGAGGCTGAGGCAGTATTGCCTGTGCCTGGGAGTTCCTGGGAGTTCAAGGTTGCAGTGAGCTATGATCACGCCACTGCACTCCAGCCTGGGCAACAGAGCAAGATCCTGTCTCAGAAAAGAAATCTGACATTGATGGGCATTTCCACTTTGCCAAGTACAGCGCTAAGCACTTGATAAACTTGCTTCATTGAATCAGCACAAGAACCCTGTGAGGTGGTGCCACTGTTATCACTACCTTACAGATGAGGAAACTGAGGCCTAAAGAACTGAGTAACTAGCTAGTAAACAAGGAGCTGGAATGACTCCAGAGACTGCACTATTAATCTCTGTGCCCTGCTTGCTTCTTCAAGGTAATTTGTATCCACTGAAAACCCAATGGACTGGGTGGAACATCAGTACCCACTAAACTGGGGAAACTGTTAATTAGTGAGGAGACAAATCAAGGAACAGCTTGGGACCTAGCTACACACAAGCTAAGGACTGACCCATTGTGAGATAACCAGGGGAACATCTGCCAAAAACAGCCTGTTCTGATGTACAAAGATCATTTGTTATTTGCACAATGGACATTTGTATACAAATAGAGGCTGACATGAACCTAAACATTTTGCCCTGTGTTTGTTTTTGCCGTGTGTTAAAGCCAACATTTAACCAGTTAAATGCTGTCTTTGAAATCTGGTTCACAGTGTTTGTTTCTAAAATCTACACCAACCAGAAATCTACTGTGTCAGTCAGAATCGCGAGGAGCTCGGGAGAGATGGTTTGGAGAATGGTGAAGTCTCAGTGTATCTGCTTTCAGTCTGTATTTGAGTCCTGAGTGTGGCTCTCTCATACTGCTGATGTGTTTGTCTTTAAGTGAAACCGACTGGAGCCTTGAATTTCTCTCCCTAGAACCCTTTTGGCATTACGTGTGATATAATAGAAGTCTATCCCTGCTAGCAACAGGTGCAACTTTGGGAAGAACATCTTTCCACAGATAACAGGCATGCATATGTCTAGTGGATTTAATTAGACACAGTGCCCATTAGCAATTTCTGCAGATGTTCACATCAAATCACGTGAGCTAATTTTCTCACACTCTTCTGTTTAGCCTATTTTCTTGCTCCCAAGTGTATGCACTCTCTCCTTAATCTTATGATGCCTACATGCTAACACACTTCCTTCTGCTCCTAGAATCCAGATACTTGATTCATTGTGTGATACTGAAGAGATTCCAGTGCTGGTGGATGTTTAGTCTTCATTAAGAAATGCATATGATTCACAGTGAAGGGCTCTATCTGGAGGGTAGGGAAATAGTGGCTGTGTCTAGCTCGAAGGTCCAGTCTCTGACACAGAGAATGTGCACACTGGGTTCTCTGAGACGTAGTCAGAAAGAACAGTTGCTGCATTTAACTGTCCTGCAGAAGTACTTTGCTCAATCCAGTGCTTGTGATCCCAGAAGTAAAGTCTTTTGCTAAAGAATACAACTTATTTCCCAAGGGTGTCTTACAGTATATATACGTAGCTAAATATACTGGATTTTTTAAAAATAAGCATTTTCTAACAGAGTGAAGGAAGACTTGAATTAGTAAAGAGGCGATTTGGGAGCTTATCTTATGCTCATCCCTGTCTAGCTGGGTAATCTTCCTCTCTCTTGGCTTTAGTTTCTTTAGCTACAAAACAGTAAAGTAGAATGTTTTATTTTAAAGATTCTTTCTAACTTAAAAGCTGTGTTTTAAATAGAGCCAACTTACATTGTTTCTCTCTGCCCTACAAGTGCAGTTCATGGCCCCATAATAACATTAGAGTAACAGACAGATACTGAGCTTTACATACATCCTTTAACTCACAGTAGCTTTGTCAGACAGATAGAGTTATTATCTCCATTTTACAAAGATTGTTCCCATGGGAAGATTTAAAATTAGCATCTCTAAAATAATAAAGAGAACTACAAGAAATCAGTAATGACACAAGCAGAGAAAAGGCCTAAAATGTGCTATGCGCCCACTCTTCTTTCCCTTTGCTTTGTCTCCCTGAGCCTCAACTAAATCCATAAAATGGGTATATATGACCTCTCTGAGCAAAAAGCGGAAGCTGAAAACAG